ATTCTAAATATGACCGGACTTTTCCTTTAATACACACAAAAAAAATATGAAAGAATTAAAAATTTGGGTTAATCACATTTAGATTAAGGTTCATATCAGACTAAGGAATAAAGTATTATGGTTTCAAAGCTGCTAAAGTTTCGTTTATGCAGGTTTCTTTGCGTTTTAGTGAATCGCTTCATAGTGCAACAGTTAGGCTACTGTCCACCATTATAACCATATGATGAAGCATGGGCGACTCTTCCAATGGGTTAAAGAACAGCAGCTAATTTGATTTAGGATTTTTTTTATTCACAGACATTTTGATGGTTTTGTGGCCCATTAACATTAAATATTTGTAAAATATTTAATACATTTGAATATTAAAGTTGAATTGCAGCATTATAGGACTTTTCTTTTCAGTAGCTTACTCTGGTTGCACACAATTTGTTTCTGAAATTTACACTAAGCCCTGCTGGTGCCTTGATGTTTTGATAGAACTTAGAGTTGCTATAGATTGGTTTATTTCATTAATATCATCTGGCCTTCGAAAACGCCCAACCTGTTTCTTATCTTTTAGACATTGCAGGATATTTAGGCTCTATTAAGTAGTCTCGACCTCGCTTTCTCATAGTCTTGTGATTCTACCAGCCTATGGCGCCGTGTCTGTTAATGTCAGCTCATGTTTAGGCTCAAAAAGGAGCTAAATACTATGTTGAAATGTGCTAGCGAGAACCCTGAATAATTGCAATGAGGCTGGTGTAATTTTTATGAGTTGTGGTCATTTTGAAAACTAGAGATATGATGGATTTGGTATTAGAAATTTACGTCAGACTAATGACAGACATGGACTCAATGAATGTTTAATACTAACTTAATGATGAAAAAGATACCCAGAGAAATCCCTTATGTCAGGTGAGATTTCCTTACCTTGGATCATGGTTCCGCTGCGTAGCTACAGAAGATACACATTCATGTCCAGTCATCTAATATAATAAAAGATATAGTGGAGAATCTTCGTTAATTTGACTTTTTAAAAAGAATGCACATGCACAACCCTGTACCTGCTCCTGAGAGGGAACGCTATTAAACATGTCTGAGAGCGTGCACAAGCCCATTTTTCTTCGTGCACACTTAGTTCAAAAGTTGCTGTTTGCATCGCTCATACAAGCTTACTTTCCAAAAGAAGATTTGCAATTTTTCCACTTTGTCAGACTCACCACCGATAAGGGAAAATGAGGACTAGCACGTAGGACGGCCTTACGTAAACATCTCACCAGGATGATTGACAATTAGGGGGACCACTTATTTTAATGATCCAACCAGAAAAAAAAACATCCTCCACTATATCATTAATACAGAAAAGCTCTTTATAACATCCTAACCTTTCAATCTATATAAGAAATCCTGGTTAAGTTAGAGGTCAGTTAATTATACCAGTTATACTCGGTTTCTTCAGGTCCTTCCCCATATCCTTATGCTACGTTCAGACCGCAAGCAATCTGTGCAGTCAGTTCATCCAGATTACCATCCTGCCTTCAAATATAATTTCGCTGTCGGAGCCGCTCAGACCCCCATGTACTGGCGGTGCGCAGTCACTGGGAATCCCATTTAACAGCAGCCTCTGCCCTGGTCTCCTCTTGGCGCTTTGCTGCAGCGGCTGGAAGCCGTTTTTCATGTACGTAATCCAAACTGCAGACACCAGGATAATAAAAGTGAACATTTTTTGCTGGCAGATTTCGGATTTTCAGTTAGTTTAGGCGTTAATAAACAGTTTCAGAGCAGTGATCATAGTGATCCGTATCATCTGCGATGTGTCTCTC